TGGATCTTTTTTAGGTACTACCCCAAGAGGAGAAACCACAAGGTTATCCAGAGGAGGAGAAGAAAACGGACCAGCCATGCGACCTAGGCTAACTTCCTTGCTAAGCTTTTCTGAAACAATAAGGGGATGTTGAAGAGCAGAATGTAAGTTACTTGGAACAGGTGGGATAACAGACAAAGAACAGGGAATCCGAAAACCCTCCAAAAACCCTGCCTCCAACAGGGATGCCGTGGCTGAGTCCGGATACCTACTTAGAAAAGGAAGCATCCTTTCCACTTTCACCGGTGTCATCCCTTTTTCCCGCATACTCACCAGAACGGGACCTGGCTTGTTTAAAACACTTGTTAAAGGCATGACTCCCTCCACAACCGGAACATTCATGTTTGAAGCGGCAACCACTTCCAAACCTGCAACTTCCTTCATTGTACTGCCAGCAAAAACCCTTTTTTCTGGCGGCCGGTTGTCCCGCGTTAGAGGAATTCCCGGCCGCCGACTGAAAAAAGGGGGCAGGTGACCTGGTAGAGGTCATCAGCTTCATCCATAAGCTGATGTCCTTATGGTCCCAACGAATTGAAGGACGAACAGATTTGCGCTGGCGAAACTGTTCATCATAACGTAGCCACGCTAAACCCCCATAAACTCTATGGGCCTCCCCTATAGCATCTAAATAGCAGAAAAGAGCAGAGCAGTGCTCCGGCGTCTTTTCGCCAATAACGCTAGCTAAAATCGCAAAGGCCTGTAGCCAGTTTGCGAAGGTTCGAGGGATCAGACGATAACGACGTTTTTCTTCGTCCTCTTTTTTGGAATCGTCTGGCTTAACCCTGTCCAGATTACATTTTTCAAGCGGCAACAGTGAAAATATCTCCACATAATCCCCCTTCCAAATTTTCTCTCTAACTTCCTGTTTAAGGTGAGAACCCAAAGGACCCTCAAAACACACATATACCTCGCACCGCGCCGAGTCTGCTAGACGAATAGTATCTACTGATTTTTCTGTTGTTTTTGTGACAACCTGGAACTCCTTACCTGTAAGCTCCCGCGATGATGCGGCGTCTGCAGGGTCCACCGCAGTCCCAGTCTGAACAGCGGAGGAAACCGCCGCTGGCAGAGTCGCGGCGGGAACGGGTATAACGACCTCCGCCGTGGAGGTATGGGGCAACAGGCGGCAACCGGCATTGTCGGTAGCGGTCCAGCTGCAAGTCTATTTAACACATCACGCAAGCCAAGCAATACGTCCTGTATCCCCTGTGAACCACTAGACCCAGCAAGCCCAGGTTTTGAAACACCCCTGGCATTAACCGAAGCGACAGCTCCCAATGATGACACATCCTGTTGACCACCGGGACGCAAGACCCGCACAAACCCCACTAAACAATTCCCCCAAAGCAGTGTGTAGTGAAGAAGAAAGTAAAAGGTTCTCACCTGGCTGAGTAGGAGCAGTCCCAACAGCCGTGTGTCCAGCATCCTGAGTAGAGAGTTCCTGCATCTGTTCATCTTCGGAGGCAGACACCTCCCCCTCTGATCTGCAGACATCTGAAGGATCCCTGTGAAAGGAGCTGCTGGACACACTTGAAACAGCTGCCGAAGGTCCGGCAAGGCTGCCGATGACGTCACCACCCCTTCTTCCTGTCAGAGAGGACCCCTCTCTGCTCCTTAGCTGTCTTCTGCGGTGCCCGTTCTGCAGAGCCACCGCAGGGGCAGACACTGCTGAAGGTATCCCTTGCTCATGTGTGGAAGAGCCCCTGGCCGCACCCCGGGACTGGCCAGTGCCCGCATCTGCACTAATCCCTCGCCGAGCTGCCTCACCGACAGGAGCATCGCCAGGTGAGGCAGCCGATTGCTCCTGTGAAGTGGATGGGGGGGAGAGGGTGTGAGGTGGCAGCTGAATGTGAACCCTCTCCCTGGGGCTCCGCCTGCGACGAGGATTCCTCCCAGGGGCACCATGCGGAAGCGCAGGTGGGCGCTTGGATGGTGGACCTGAAGGGTCCCTGGAGGGGCTCCTAACTCGGCGCTGAGCCCCACTGGATGCACCGTGTTCCGGCGAAAAACGCTCAGGAGGCCTGGACCTCCTAGCCCGTGTCGCCCGATGCTCGGTTGGTTGTTGGACGTCCTGCAGGATAGTAGCAACTTGATCCTGTAGCCAGTTTGGACCCTGCAATTGTGCAGCAGTTTTCAGTTGGTCCAATAACTGTTTTAAATCAGTCATTTTTCTGGTAGTCTTTCAAGAGGCAAAGCAGCTGCAGGGGTGAATCTCGCTTGCCGTGTGGCAAATCCAGACTGAACCAGTACTTCTCCGCCCCCCTCCAGACCACTAAGGAGGCCCTCCTGCAACTCTTGAAACCGGCCAATCAGGTAAGTGACCATCCCCCCTTAACACTAACTTAACCCCGTACTTCCGAGTTCCCTGTCCACCCTGTCATGTAGTCCTTCCGCCTATTTTTCTTTTCTTTTGCTCCAGGACTATCTGATGGTTAAACCAGCAATGATGAGTGTTCACATCAGTGATTATAAAACACAGTAAGGATAAGTATTTACAGCAGTGAGTATAACCAGCAGTAACCGATGACACAGGCTTGCAGTGTAGTCAAATGGGGAGACCTGGTGCTATAGTGTGCTATAGCCCAGGGTACTTGCGTTTCTGCGGTTCAGCGTCCTGAGTTGCGGCAGTAACTCGTTTAGTCAAGGTCCAAAGGAGCGAGTGGTGTGCTGAGTTGATCAGCGTCCACCTACATCAATAGTGGGACGCCGATCAACTAATGAGCGGCGGCTTTAAGCCGAGCGCTCGCTCTAGATGGGGCAGAGTTACAGGGCGCACCTGCGCAGGACGTAGAGCCGGGTGGAGAGAGAGGCGCCGGCGTTCCGCAACGTGCCTGCGCAGCACGATCACGGGCACTGCCACCAGAGGCCATCACCTGATGTGGGGGACCCAAGGTAGAAGGGACCCGACGTGCCCGCACAGGCCCACAAAGGACGGCGGGACCTGACCTCACCAGGGTACATCCACTACAGGTTCAGGCAATGTTTGTTTAATAGTCTAGACAGCAGAAAATAAGCTTTGCATATACAGCAAATCCCATGCTGCCACATTCTAGTTTTTCAAAAAATTCCCTGACACAAGGGGTGGAGCTTGTACAAAAAGGTGCCATCATGTAGCTGCCCTAGGGCAGCATGATGTCTAAATAAAACCCTGCTTCTTATGATAACTTTTTCAAAAGTGTATAGACAATGGGCGGAATTTAAAAAAAACGGAGCAGACAGAATCTGGAGCAATTAACTCCTCTTCTTTCATTTTCCAAGCTTAACTCAACAAAACAGAAGCTAATTTTTTAATTTCATTTATGGAGTGCTGATGATTTCTATTGTTCATTTTATTTTCTGGGTAATTTTTAACTTATTGAAAGAACAATATTTAAATCTTGCTCTATAAAATAAGTATTAACACTTTAATAAAAATTTCAAACCAATGTAGGACGCATTTAAACAATGATGGGCATCACATCATCCCACACCAAAAGAACAACTAAATCTGGTGAATGTGTCAACATGTGTCCATATTTCGTAAAGATGCAAATGATCACTTCTAAGAAACAAAATGAAAATGTTCATCAGACTACTGTATATCGTGCTCAGTGCTTCCTAATAAAGTGTCATGATGAATACAGTTCATTGAGAATCGGCGACATGCAGTGCCCCACACCTCTGAGAAGTAAATGAACTCACCAGAAATCAATGACCTTACTTAGCTTTCTGGTCATACCAGCACTTTTCTATTTATACTCCTCCGTCTCCTCCACTATTTTTTACCATCACTCCATCCTGTTATTTATCTCAATTAAAGGATTACATTTCGAGGATGATATGCCTGGAAAAAACTTTGCATAGCATTATACCTTATATTTTTGTTTAAACCATTACACATTACTCACTTTATGCGGTGCTGTCATCTGTAGCAGTTTTAGTACACATATAAATATTAGAGGCATCCGTTCCTGGCTGGGACACAACTATTGCATCCCTGATGCCTTTCGGCATACTCAGGGCCAAGTGTATCAGGGGTGGGAAGACAGAAGGGATGAGATAGTGCTGTCCCAGTCAGTTGTTCCTTTGTTTTAGATGGAGTGATGTAGATGATTGCTTAAATGCACTCTACACTTGGTTTAGACAATACTGATTTACATTGTCAGTTATTTTAGGTTGGAGGGAGGATGATGTTTGGCTGTCTGCAACAGAAAAGGGGAATACTGCCGTTCGAACCCTATGAGAATATGGGCGAACGGCAGCAGAGCATGTTCATCTGACTGAAGGCAGCCGAAGGCAGCTGATGTACGGCTCAAATCAGCTGTACTGAGCCATAGTGAATAGCCGAACGTCGTCGGCTCTGTTCACTTCGGCTCGGTTATTCACTCAGCTGCCTTCGGCAGCTAAGTGAAAACCCCCTTAGAGTTCAGTTTTATTCCAAAGCAGCCACAGCCTGAGTACAACAAGCCTTTCCCCTGACAGCATGCTGTAGAGAAGGGCCCTTGCTTTTTGTGTTGAAGCAGAAGTCTGACACTCCCCAGCAGATTCAGACCTCTGGATTCAGCCAAGCTCACACTCCCTGCTGATTGATAAACTCTTGCTCTGACTGAGCAGGGGGCATGCTGGACCAGAACTTCTACACAGAGAGGAAGGGTCATTTTCTGCAGCATGTTGGCCTGGAACAGGTATTTCTACTAAGCTTGTGGCCACTTTCTAAAAAAATTAAAATAATAAAAAACTCCAATACTTTGCGCACATTTTGTTTTGATGCACCTGGCTAATTTAAACTGATTTTAGCTGATTTAAACTAAAAGGTAAATTGGACTTTACAGTTTTGATAAGGGTCTGACACATATTTATAAAAATATTTAATTACTTTTTTGGTTTGCACCATTTGTATATAAAAGTTTGACAACATAATACAGTATACAGTATATGTTTTCCATAATTGACTGTAAACATATGTGTGTTTATTAACCCAGGAGAATTTCTGAACATAATGAAGAAGTACAACGTCTTTATGAAGAAATGGAGCAGCAAATGCGAGAGGAAGTAAAGAAATTAACCCACGAGGTATTTAAATCTCTGCTTGAGGCCTGTAATGACATTATGTACCTTTTAAATGCATTTTTACAGGCTTTGTCTAAAAGTACAGCAGTCACATACATTTTTGTGTGGAGTTGCTGAAGTCTCTAGCAACTATCTCTCACAGCATCTTGAAATAGGCCAGCAGTAAGAGGGGGGTTTAGGGTATAATTACTGGTACAAGCTCTGTGACAATGAGATTGCATTCTTAGTGGACTCCAAAAGGTCATGGGCCAAAGGTATGGATGGGGTGCATATCTAAAGAAGCAGACCTCAATGTCCTACACAAATTACTTCTATCCCACTAAATGGCTCTCTCAGCAAAACAGGCTATACAGACAATTCATTACAACAAAAATCTTCCCATAAAAATGTTATGTGCATTATTTTATGCGTGTCATTTACCTATAAATACCTCCCTTGTGTAGACATCCAAACGGCCTGTGACTGGGTGGGTGCCATTATTAGCAGTCCTAATAGACTCAGGACTGTCACTCTATAGTTCGGGCAGCTACATAAAAGGTTAGGGGAGGGGCAGCGATGCTGGGCCAGCACAGACAGTAATCTACCACTCCTAGATGAGAAGAGAGCTATGACATACAAGGAGGGAGGGGGCTGTGCTAGGGAATTGACTTTACCCTGAGTAGTCTACTACTAGCTGTACCACAGGACTATGTTATTTAAGTGTAACTTCCAAGTTATATTTTTTATGTGCTAAAAAATATAGCCCATCTTGCGCTTACACCTCCACAGCCCATTGGAGATTTGGGTGCAATGCCCAGCAGTGGCATTGCATAAACAAGTAACAATGAAGGGGCTGACTATCAGCATATAAGGATGTTTGGCTATACTATCCACTTCAGTGTGTTAAACAAGGTATTGAATACCCACTCTGCAAAAAACAATGTACCAGGACCATATTACAAGCTGAGCATTGGGCATGTGATCTCTGTTTAAGGGATAATATTTCACATTGGCTGGGTCTCTCCTTCAGTAATGATCACATGACATATTGCATCGCTGACCGCTGTGGGATGCTGGAACAGTGTTTTCTAAAGTGAATATTTCACGATTTTTGTTACCTTTTATACCAGAGCTGGCTATACACAAGTAGAATTTCTTTTTTAAAAAAAATCATTTTTATAATGTTTGTTTGATTCTCTAATAGTTAATGGAGTTAAATCAACGATCAATTTCCACCATAGTGATGAAAAAATTGAAGAAACAGGATTTTCTCAAATGAATAAACAAAATCCAAACATTCAATGTGGTTTTTGTTCAAGAAACTCCATATATTCCGAATTTGAATGTTAAAAATCAAACAAAACTGTGAACAACATATGTCAAGTGTCTGATGGCATTATCGAATGCTCTGACCAGATTCTGCATATCAAAGTTGGAAAATCTACCAGTGTATGGCCAGCTTAAAATTTGCAATGTAACTAGGTGTCTTTTTTAACTATAGTTTCTCTTGGCCCTTGGAAGTTGGTCCTATTAGATGTATGTTCTTTCAGTGGTAACTGTTGTTTTGTTTTTGTTAGAACAAGTATTAAATACTATGTTTAGTCAAATTTGTCAGTAATCCCTCCCTTCCAGTATTATCTTCTGATTCATTTGTCAGTTTCAGTTTATTGTTTTAACTTGAAAACATACCGTGTGGGGGAAAAAAAAGGTCTGAAACTTTTATTGGTTCATTTGAAGTTAATTTGTTTTTGTTAAGGTTTATGACCATGTGATTTGTATCCTGCAATTGCCTGGTTATGATTAATTTTTTCATATGCTTTGGAGAAGTCGGAAAAATGTTCCGTTTCCACACATCATGTTCAAATCATTCAAAAAGGCTCAATATTTTATTATTGGTTTCTTAGAGTCATGCCCGGAGCAGTATCCACAAAAAAGAAATGAAAAATGAGATAGATTCGAAGAATACAGAGGTGCAGCAGCTGGTGTCTGTTCAAGATGAGGTAAGACATGGAGGCATAGAATATGTAAGAATGGAATAAATAATTACACACAAACTGGTCCAAGTGCCTACATCCAACCCTAACTACTGTGTTCTGTGTTCATTTGAGATTATTCAACTAAACTAAGGGAAAACTACAAAAATTATGTTAGTCAAACAAAACGTTATTCTCAGAGAAAATTGTGATAGCAAAAATTAAGTGAATTTTTTTTTATTTTTTAAAGGTGATAAAAAGTAAAAAATAATAAAAATTTGAAACCAACCCTGCCGCCCCCACCGCCAGGCATGCACATTGTATGTAAATGGGGGAAAGGGGACTTCTAACAAAAATAAAATAAAATAAACATTGTAATGCACTGCGATCAGCACATTAGCACTGTGCCTGGGAACATACACTAGCAGCTGTGCGTTGCAGTGCAACTGCTTGTGTGAATGCAGCTTAAATGGAGGGCCGCTGTATGGACACAAACTGTGCAGACCATGAATGAGTCTTCTGCTTGATGAAAATTGTATTCACTGGACTTCCTTGAATTTTAATTCACTACCCCTGGTCTAGGGGTTTTGTGTAAAGGAATTTTACTTCCCTGATCCCCATTCCCTGACATTCATCACTCACCTCGTCTCCCCTACGCTAATGGCTACTTACTGTATAATGCAAGGCTATGGGACCTGCATTAAATGTGATGATGTCAGTGGGCCTCTCACTGCCACAGCACAAGGGGGGAAGGGACAGCGAGCGTGAGCCTGAGGAAGCATGGATCAGTTAAGTAAAAGTCACAATACTCCTAGACAAAGACAAGCAGTTTTTTCCCCTGGAGATATACTTTAATGCTGACCTCCTAAGTGATATAAAGATACTAATTATTGCAGCACTATATTCATTAATGCATCAGTAAGTATATTTTTTGTAATGCAGGCGGTATAAGTACCTGACTTAGTATCAGCTTAAAGTTCACTGTACAGCCGAGCTCTGACTTGACAGAGAGAGACAGCACAAAAAGCCAGTAAGTAATCTTAGAACTGGATGAACAGGGATACAAATTATTTGACAGGTAAAACAACTCCCCTATATATATATGTTTCATTTAGTGCATGCAAAAACATGTGGTCTGGATATTGCTACTCTTTAATGAAGGCCACGGCTCACTAACTGTCCCTATTAGGAGACAGTTCAACACAAGACTGTACAGGAGGCACCAAAACTGCCTGCTCTTATCTTCACCATGCTGCTTTGGAACCCTCTAAATATTCTAAGCAATTACTGACTTTTTGAAAGTCATTATTTGTTTATGGCTATGCCTGCCCCTCCCATATTCCCTCCCCTCATGAGACAGCCCTTGGAAGTGTCCATATGTTGCCATACCTGATAGTATCAGGCTTTTCTTAGGCCTTCAGTCCCAGAACAGAGCAGTTTTGGGGAGCATGGTAAAGCTTATGCATTAGTTTGCCTCCTATGGGCACCAGTTACATTAAAAATATAATTGTTTGATACAGGAACACTTAAAGTAAACCTGCAATGGGAGAGATGCATGACTGCCATTGTTGATTTACCTCTTAAAATGCTAGTTGACCGATTGATTACAGTACTTTCTCAGTCACTGACCTGAAAGAGGTACGCAAAAAAAGGAAAATCAGAGAAAACACAAGTCTTGACCTGTATACTTGTTCTCAGCCAATGAGGATCAGCATTAGTTTTAGTATTGCCACTAGCTTTCTTTTATAACAGGTTTCTTTACAATAATCTACAAATACTTATTTCTTGTTTAATGAAGTGATATACTGTGTAATATTGTCCCCACCCCCTCCTTGATCAACATGCAATTAAAATGTTTCTATCAAATGATTTTGTTTTTCAAAAAATACTCATTTTGAGACCCAGCGATGACAACTGTTGGGGAAACCCAAACTCGGGGGTTTCAATAACGTTGACTGTTTTGGCCATATTAAAAAGTTAATGTATTTCTTTTACATGGAGAACATAACATACAGCGTATTGGAATCTACATTGCTCTGGGTGGCTATGGTCCTAATACAGTATATATAGGGTCTGAGTTGGGTGGAAACCTGGCTATCTATGTCCTTTGAAGTGTACATCTTCTTTCTGATGTCATATGCAGAGGTGACGAACGCATGTTGTTTACGATTCTTCTAAAAGGACAGCTGTTGTGCACAGGAACCAATTTTCTTTCTAAATAGATTTGAAGTAGCATTCTCGGGTGGTCATTACATAAGGTTAATGTAGGATGTTAGACAATATTTGATTAAAACAAAATAAAATGGCTGTTCCAATTTCCCCCTCACATCAGTGGGTCTGTTGGCTGCTCTTTGCTCTGAGATTGGTGGGAGGGGTCAGCAGCATTCAACCACGGATCTTTTTCAAAAGCATGACATGAAAGAACATATGCCTGGGATCCCTTTAGATGTGTCTGCTTCTCCCTGCTGGCCACTGGGCGCTGCAGACTTTAGCTGTGCAGTCTGCTGATTGGTTGACAGGTTGCAGGCCCATCTAAGGATGTGTTCTTTCAAGCATGTGTTCTTTCACATAAAGTTCAGGAACAAAATGATTCATGATAGAGAAAGCAAATACCGTAGCTGTGAGAGCGGGCCCAGAAAAAATACAATACAGTTTCAAAGTAATACAAAGTAATTGATTAATGATGGAGGCTGTTCAAACAGGAATAAATGTGGCCTCAAGATCGCTGCTGCAAGTATAAAGGGTTATATTGTGGAGCTGCAAGTTTGCAGTGAATTGAGAGTAATCAGTTTCAACACAGGCGAGGACTTGCTACAAGTGTGAGAAAAAGGGTACTATATGTCATGTGCCACGAATAATTTGTGCTTTACTCTAACAGCTGGAACGAGAGCTCAAGAACCTCCGCGGCACAGAGAAGGTTACAAAATCAGAGAATGAGAAATTAAAACGTACCAACCAAGATTTGGAACAACAGCTGGAGAAAATACGAGACCAGCTGTCTGAAGCTCAAGGCTGTTTGAGTGAGATGAACCAAAAAATTATTCAGATTGAGGCTGAAAAGTAAGAAAGCTTCATTTGTTAATCTTTTGACCTTTATTTTGTACCTTGATAAAAAAATAACATATTTGTAATAATTAAATTACATTTATACATAAAAACTAAATATACATAAAAATGTATTTATAAATGTCTGGTTCTGGTTAAATAAATATCAAGAATTATTCCAGTAGTTTTCAGTAAATACAGCACAAGCAAGACAGAAAAATAAATAGCGCCCTAAAGAGCATGTTTCAACATTAAGGCTAGTAATGAGAATGGTGGACCCTTGCATGAAGAGTGTAAAGTGACACTAAACTCAGGAGTTGAATATTAAAAATACATTCAACTACCTTAACTATTAACAAAAATGTATCTTATCTGTGTATCACTCGGCTGTAGATCATCATATAATCTCTGAATCGGTGCTGACACTGTCCTTCCTTCTGGAGGGTAGCTACTTTTGTTCCCCATAGTCCCTGTGTGTGTTGTAAAAGTAGCCACAGCTCCAAGCTCCCTACCATGATGAGCTACAATCCCAGTATAAAAATTAGTAAACTAAAAGTGAAATTGTAGTCTGTCTTGGGAGCAAGTTAGGGGTGGTGGCTACTTTACAACACACAGGAACTGTGGGGAACAAAAGTACACACCCTCCAGAAGGAAGGACAGTGTTAGCATAAATTCTGAGATAATTTGAGGACCTACAGCTACATTATTGTTAATAGTTGGGGTACTTGAATGCAGTTTTTAAATTTAACTAGTGTCACTTTAAGTTGCCACATCCCTCAAACATCCTGTAATTTGGTAAGGTTGCCAAGAGGTTGGGGTCCTCAGGCATATGCTTTCCTTTTCCTTGTCCTACAAAGCTTCTTCTGCTGTCCTTCTTCAGTGAGCTACCTTCATCATGCAACTACAGTTCATTGCAAGTGGGCCAACTAATCCCTTCAATGTCTGAGAAGCTTGTATACACAGGTTTCATTCTTAATTAGATTCAGTAAGTGCTTTCCCTGTATTTAGTCAACCACAGTGCCTTACATGCATTTAGTCAACTATAGAAGCGGTGTTTTTCATGTGTCCATAATTAAAGAGAATCTGTCATGTGGCCCAGGGAAAAGTGACAGATTATCTTGATAGTTTACCCTCCACTACCACTGATTCTTACTATCCCCATGGCTTCCCACTGCTGCATCTATCAGAGCCCTCACAAATACCTGTACTTCCAGGTATGTGTCAGCATGTGACCTTCTTTTCTTCCTTTTAGGAAGTAAAGGAGTAAGGAATCTTTTATGGAGTAAAAAATGTTATTTAAATTGTTTGCGATACAGATCACTCATACATTTTCATTTTCATTACCTGGATACAGATGTTTGTGGGTGTTACTTCACAATGTGAATAAACAGATAAGCCCAAATGCACACACAGTCACTATACTCTGCACACTATGCATACACAAACAGGCTGGTTTACTAAAGGAGTTAGGACTCTTCAATTATAAACTTCAATTTTTCAATCATGTGAAAATGAAGTGAATTGAATAATTGAAGTGAATATTGATACAATTTATTGTATAAAGATTCTCAACCCATTTAGCAAATCAGCCTCAATGCCCCAGGTTTTGCACAGTGCACAAACAATTGCTCACATATTGCTGATAGCTTACCTTGCACTTCCTATATTCAGTGATGTAGCTTCTTGTCTTCTCCATGAGGAATTAAAACACTGAGGGAGATGAAGGGCCAGTCATATGTTAGAAGTAGATTATTGCTGGGATTAATTGTGAAAAGTTAAAGTGACACCAAGCTCAGGCGTTAAATCCTAAAAATGCATTCAAGTACCTTACCTATTGAACAAAAATGTATCTTACTTGTGTATCACTGAGCTGTAGATTCTCAAATCATCTCTGAATTTGTGCTGACAGTGTCCTTCCTTCTGGAGGGTGGCTACCCGCTTTGTTCCCTATGGCCCCTGTGTGTGTTATAAAGTAGTTACCGCTCCAAGCTCTCTCCTGTGATGGACTACAATCTAACTCCTAATTAGTAAAACTATGGGGGTTATTCACAAAGCTGCAGAAGGATCTAGCCGTAGCTCTGGCCGATCCTTCGGCTAGCTTCGGCCCTAGGACCCCTACGGTTCAGTAGAACCGAATGGCTGCTGTACGGGCTATTCACTATAGGCCGTACAGCTCCCAAAGTTGGCCGAGGGGCTCAGTCTGAGCCCAGGTGAAATTCGAAGCTGGCCGAACGGCGGGCCATTGGCTGATCGACAGCCTACTACTGACAGCTGGGTGGAGCCAGCCGTCATCTTACGGCTGGCTCCGGCCACTTGCAGAGACAGAATGGCGTCCCTGGTTACCTGGTAACCAGTGACGCCATTCTGTTATTACACTGAGAACTCGGGCGGAGCCGCTGTGATATCACGGCGGCTCCGTCGGGTTCTCAGTGTGTAATGACAGATGGGCGTCCCTGGTTACCAGGTAACCAGGGACGCCCATCTGTCATTACGATGAGAGCTTAGCAGAGCCGGCGGTGATATGAAAGCCGACTCTGCTGAGCTCTCATGGTACTGACAGTTCCGCGTCCCTGGTTATCTGGTAACTAGTGGACACTGATCTGTCAGCACCATGAGAACTCAGAAGAGTCGGCTTTGATACCACCACCGCCTCCGACAAGCTCTCATTGTAATGACAGCTGGTCCTGGCCTATAGAAAACAGTTGGGTGGAGCTAGCTGTCACTGCTAGCTCCGCCCAATCGTTTTCTCTTTTCTTTTTTCTACTTTTTTAAACTGTTTTTCTATTCTGTTCGGTACCTCAGAAGGTACCGAGCAGAATAGCCGAGCCAAATGCCGCTCAGCCGATCCAGATCCAGAGTCGAACTCCTTCTGCACTTTGGGTCGGCCGAACATGCTGAGCATGTTTGGCCGACCTGAAGCCAGCCACAGCAAGCCGATGTACGGCTGATTTTAGTCGATGTACGGTCGATTAGCCGTACAAACCTGAAGTGAATAGCCGAACAGTGTTCGGCTCACTTCACTTCGGGTCGGCAGCTTTGGGAATAACGCCCTAAAACCCCCTAAATGTGAGATTGTAGTTCATCATTGGACTGAGCTTGGAGCGGTGGCTACTTTACAACACACACAGTAGCCACTCTCCAGAAGGAAGGACAGTCTCAGCACCAATTCAGAGCTGATTTGAGGATGAACACCTGCGTGATGCACAAATAACGTACAGTTTTGTTAATAGTTATGGCACTTGAATGCATTTTTAAGATTTAATTTCTGAGTTTAGTGTTACTTTAAAGAACTTAAAAGCAGAGAGTAATAAAATTGTCTCTATGGGCTTCAGCTCACATTTTTTTGTAGTCCTGATACTATATATAATTATAGCAGAACTTAAGGACCCAGCTGGAAACCCAGCAGACATGAGAGCACCAAGAATTTCTGTGGAAAGTTTTCCTTCATAGAAAACTAAGCATGGGCATGCCATTATTGCATCCAACAGCATAGTGTGTTTTTTTTTTCTTAATGGGTTCCTGAGGCACTTATATTGCATTGTGAAATGCAGTGCCTAGGCTCAAGTATCTCAGAACTTAGAACCTGAATACTAAAGTTTGGGGGCTCCTGGGTTGTCCTGTAGCCCCACTGAGGATAACAAATAGAAACTACAAGAACCAGGTGCTGTCTGCTATCACCATACAAGGCTAATTTCCTAATTCTTAACTGAAAAGTGGTTCACGTAAATGTAGATAGTCACCATATTTGTACAATATTACTTAGGTACATTGTAGTTCCTACTTAATAATGCTGCACAATGGCTGGTTCTCTCTCTTAGTGAAAGTCTATTAGGCACTGTCTGCAATCATTAGGGCTTGTCACACTAAATCCGGACCAGATCTGCATGAGTTTCTGCACATGCAGTGCAGTGTGTTTTGCTGTGGGCTTTCAGTGCGTTCCAGGGCGTTTGCATGTGTTTTTGATGCGTTTGCATGCATTTTGGTGCATTCCAGAGCAGAAAAAATAGGGCATGCGGCAGTTTTTCCACATGCTCTGGAACAGAACACTGTGGTATGAACTAGAGCCCAAAATACCATTGGAATACATTGAATGCATTTTTGATTTGTTCTGTAACTGCTCTACTCCGCACTTGGTGTGTACAAGCCCTTAGGCCTTGTTCACACCAAATGCAGAGCAGATCTGCATGAGTTTCGCAGTGCAGTGGGTTGTGACGTGTTTTTGCAGCGTTTTTTGCCACGTTTTTGATGTGTTCCGGCCTGTTTTTGGTAAAAAAATAAATACATTTGTTTTTTTAGTTTAAAATGGGCTTTCAGTGCGTTCCAGGGTGTTTGCATGCGTTTTTGATGCGTTTGTATGCGTTCCAGAGCAGGTAAAATAGGGCCTGCTGCAGTTTTTGTATCTGCTCTGGACCTGCTCTGGAACGGAATGCTGGGAGGTGAACTGTAGCTAAAAATACAATTGGAACACATTAGATGCAGTTTTGCTCCGGCCTGTAACTGCTCTGCTTCCAGCCACAGCAAGCCGATGTACGGCTGATTTTAGTCGATGTACGGTCGATTAGCCGTACAAACCTGAAGTGAATAGCCGAACAGTGTTCGGCTCACTTCACTTCGGGTCGGCAGCTTTGGGAATAACGCCCTAAAACCCCCTAAATGTGAGATTGTAGTTCATCATTGGACTGAGCTTGGAGCGGTGGCTACTTTACAACACACACAGTAGCCACTCTCCAGAAGGAAGGACAGTCTCAGCACCAATTCAGAGCTGATTTGAGGATGAACACCTGCGTGATGCACAAATAACGTACAGTTTTGTTAATAGTTATGGCACTTGAATGCATTTTTAAGATTTAATTTCTGAGTTTAGTGTTACTTTAAAGAACTTAAAAGCAGAGAGTAATAAAATTGTCTCTATGGGCTTCAGCTCACATTTTTTTGTAGTCCTGATACTATATATAATTATAGCAGAACTTAAGGACCCAGCTGGAAACCCAGCAGACATGAGAGCACCAAGAATTTCTGTGGAAAGTTTTCCTTCATAGAAAACTAAGCATGGGCATGCCATTATTGCATCCAACAGCATAGTGTGTTTTTTTTTTCTTAATGGGTTCCTGAGGCACTTATATTGCATTGTGAAATGCAGTGCCTAGGCTCAAGTATCTCAGAACTTAGAACCTGAATACTAAAGTTTGGGGGCTCCTGGGTTGTCCTGTAGCCCCACTGAGGATAACAAATAGAAACTACAAGAACCAGGTGCTGTCTGCTATCACCATACAAGGCTAATTTCCTAATTCTTAACTGAAAAGTGGTTCACGTAAATGTAGATAGTCACCATATTTGTACAATATTACTTAGGTACATTGTAGTTCCTACTTAATAATGCTGCACAATGGCTGGTTCTCTCTCTTAGTGAAAGTCTATTAGGCACTGTCTGCAATCATTAGGGCTTGTCACACTAAATCCGGACCAGATCTGCATGAGTTTCTGCACATGCAGTGCAGTGTGTTTTGCTGTGGGCTTTCAGTGCGTTCCAGGGCGTTTGCATGTGTTTTTGATGCGTTTGCATGCATTTTGGTGCATTCCAGAGCAGAAAAAATAGGGCATGCGGCAGTTTTTCCACATGCTCTGGAACAGAACACTGTGGTATGAACTAGAGCCCAAAATACCATTGGAATACATTGAATGCATTTTTGATTTGTTCTGTAACTGCTCTACTCCGCACTTGGTGTGTACAAGCCCTTAGGCCTTGTTCACACCAAATGCAGAGCAGATCTGCATGAGTTTCGCAGTGCAGTGGGTTGTGACGTGTTTTTGCAGCGTTTTTTGCCACGTTTTTGATGTGTTCCGGCCTGTTTTTGGTAAAAAAATAAATACATTTGTTTTTTTAGTTTAAAATGGGCTTTCAGTGCGTTCCAGGGTGTTTGCATGCGTTTTTGATGCGTTTGTATGCGTTCCAGAGCAGGTAAAATAGGGCCTGCTGCAGTTTTTGTATCTGCTCTGGACCTGCTCTGGAACGGAATGCTGGGAGGTGAACTGTAGCTAAAAATACAATTGGAATACATTAGATGCAGTTTTGCTCCGGCCTGTAACTGCTCTGCTCTGCTCCTGGAATGCGCTTGGCGTGAACAAGGCCTTAGATTATCTGTGTGGCTGAGATTTTGGAGGTATTGGGGGCTGAATGACTGGAACTATTAATTACAAATAGAGGGAAAGTCTGTAATTCTGTTAAACAGCCATGGAAATATGGTACATTGACCCTGAAAAATGATGGATGCTACATGAAAAATTACAATGTTAAAACTTACACTGTAATTTTCCATTAACCAGTGTTGTGAAAAGTTGTTCTGCTCTGAAAAAAATAAAGGATGTTTTTGATGTTATTACAAAACAAATAACTGAGTAGAGAGGCATTTCAAGACTTCACTTCACAAAGCTCAATTTTTTCTCTTTAGATGTTTACAGCTGTGAAGTCATACATTCCATTTTTGTAATGTTACTATTGTTAATGTCAGCCTTTCTGTACAAACAGCTATTTCCACCCTGGTGGTTGGGGCAGCAGCATGTTTTTCTATTGTTGAGCTTTACATTACATGTCCTACATCAAAGTGGGTGAGGTTGTTTGTTGTTGTCAGACAGTGTCCACATAGATTCTTTAATCAAGACTGGGCTCATGAGCTGTGCAATGACCTTAGAACTAAATGCACACTTCCTATTCCATTTTTAAATGGGTAAACAAGCTGCCTCTGACTACATCCCTGTAACATACTGTTATGTCCAACAAGCACTGTGCTCGTAAATGGGCACCTAACAATGGTCCTGGATATGGTCTCACTCCAGATTAGATGCTGGAGTTATGGATAACTTGGATAGGTCCCTTCACCACAGAACACAATGTTACGCATTATGTGCTAGAACAGGGCTGCAGGGTCAAGTCCAAAGATTAACCATGGTTAAAAAAACAAAAAAGAAAACAAAAATGGTTAAAAAATAAAGTCTCATCTGACAAATAACAGTGTAAACAGAGTGCAATACAGTATGTGTGGCATAGTCTTTTGTCAATGATATTGTATTCAGCCTGCAGGAGGAAACCAAAACCACAAATGCAGCTGAACTTGGCAAGCAAAGGAGAATAATTGGATATATCTCATCATAAAGCTTCATTTTTTTTTTGCAATGACCCGAAAAGGGTTGTAGAGGTTAGGTTGTAGTGAGCTCAGTATCTTGGTAGAGAGAGACCAGTTGTTGTTCAATAGCTCACCAGTGGTCAGAGGCAGCCAGTTGAGAGTGTTGTCTGTTTCAGTTTGGACGAGATCCCAGAGTGTGCCCCTAAAGGATATGTTGACTTTAGGGAGGTGACAGAGACAGTTTTCCACCAGGGCTGGTTCTAAACTCAAGGAGGCATACTGGTCTGGGCATCTGTCGACTGACAGACTATGAATTAATTCTTGTACACAATAATGTGGAGGGGATACCCTTACCTGCATGTCCTGCCAGTTTGGTGGAGTTTGTGCAGTAGTGGATGCATTAGGGCTCAATAGCATAAGGTGTTCCTGGACAGGTAAGACATGATCTGCAGGGCAGCTCCATCAAACTTAAACAAGCATTCATTATGAAGGAGGTCTTCCTTCAAGGTAAACGGCCTACCAGATAGCATCCCGGGGTCTATTGGCACCAGTTGGCTTCTCTCCTAAGGCACAATTGACTCTATTCAGTTTTGTGACAATGACACAAATATGGTTAATACAATTTTCTTTTCTTTTATATTGTCCGATTATTATCATTTTAGTTAATGGCTCATGAGCCATTCCTGAGAAAACGTAATATACAATTTAAGATATTAAAACATTTACGACATTGTAAGATTTTATAAACTTGTCTTTCATAGGGAGGCAACAGATTGTAAAGATGCCATGGACATTTCAAGTACTCAGGTATAGCATTCTTTTGGACGTTTTTGATAACCATCCATTATTACGCTGATTTAAATGTTGGGAAGTGCTGTAATGTAATGCAAAGCCCACAGATGCCTTGGACAGATATAGGGGATGCATAAATCCTGTATTAGTTTGAACATAACACAGGATGAAGAAAACTTTCTGTGTGAGTGCTTAATTTTTCTTTTTTTCCAAGGAGAAAGTGGTACCAGTAAGAGTCACTATAGTCAGGATAGATTACAAAAACAGGAATGCTTTCTTCTCCACTGATTTTAACATAAACACATACTTGCAGCTTGGGGAAATAATATGATGAAGGCAATACTAAGGCCTCCCTCTCCCCTAGAGGGCTCTAACAGGGAGTCCAATAAAGAGGTGGTATCCCATAAACAATCAGTTGAGTTTGTCTGTAATTCTTTCAACATTTTTAGTACCAGACAATTATCATCTATTGTCTATGGGTCGATTTCTTCTCTAATTCAATCTTAAAAACTGTATTGAGATTCTGTTTTTAGCATCAAATTTCACACAAGAGAAAAGCTGGTTCCACAGATTCCAACTACTAGATCAGAAAAAAACTATGCAGTTTAAGAGCCTACTTGGATGGATGTAAATGGGATAGAATACATTTGATCAAATAGATTATTTAGATCACAGGTCCTTACACTACATAGATATTGGTAATATTTTGTTGATCTGCTTTGGGATCAGTTTCAAGCTCCAAATAGATGTTAGAGGATGGTTGATGGATGTGCAGAAATTATCTGACTGCTCTAAAGGAAACTCCCACAGGACCAAGTAACTTCTATGGTACAAGGAGGGAGCAGAGTGGTGTGGGGGTTAGGAAGGGGAATAAATAAAAAGTTTGCTATACTACCTGATTGGCTGTTCTCTCCAAAAGGGAGCCAGCCAGAAGGTTTAGGGAACACCCAGAGACACAAAATTGTCGCCTGAATTGAGTTAAAACGACCAAATCAATCAATTGTCATCTCATGTCTTTGGGCACCCTTAGCTAATTATACAAGATTTCAGTTATGAATTGAAAAACTTGTATTGTTATTAACATATGGAGAAATTGTAAATTGGACACATATTTCATATAATTCAGCCCGAAAAGTGTATGTCTGGGCAAAATAGAAAGCATGTATTCTGTACACCTATGCAATACCTGCACATTTCCCCATTCCCCAGCGCCCTGCTAGCTTCCTGCTGTTGGCTGAAGACACTACTTATGTTGCACTGAAATCCTAAGCAGTATTATCTCTTCTGCTAGATTAGAGAATACCTCCCCATTTCCTCATCTACATAGCATAAGGGTGAGGTGTTCTGTAGTCCAGCAGGAGAGAACTCAGGCAGGGCTAACAGCACTTAGGAACAGCTGTTCTTTCAGCAAGCCCTCAAGAGAACAGTGATCAGCTTGGTAGTAACATTACCAAATCTCATACCATATCTTGTTAGATTAGCAATCAGAGGCAGTAATGCCTAAGATAATCTAACACTGCAGGCACACAGGTATTAGGCTACAGAACAGCACATCAGCACTCCTATTTTTGAGCAAAAATTAACATTTTTAGGGTTCTGCTTGGACGTAAATAATTTTTAGATATAGATTTTCAGATATAGATTTCTCTATAAGATAGTAAATCTTTGCTATTTGAGTCCATTTACAGGGGTTTTGTCCAGAACTGACCCTTACCTGTAATTGGTTAATGCAAATTAAAAAGTCTTACAAATCATCTTCCTGCAAGATTCTCTTCCTTAATGAGGATCAGAAGATTGATAAAGTAATCGCACTGCTCTCCTTTGCTATATGTTGATTAAAGCAGGGGTTGGTGCAGAATTGACCCCTACCTGTAATTGGTTAATGTAATTTAAAAAGTCTTACAAATCCTCCTCCTACAAGATTCTCTTCCTTAATGAGCAGCAGCAGATTAAATAAGTCATCCTACTGCTCTCCTCTGCTATAAGCATGTTCAAGAAGGGAATCTGATGGCACCGTGCAATGCAAAAGAGCCTGAGTGGATTAGAATTAGGGTTGCACAGATACCAAGTACAGTACTTGGTAAGGAGCACATGGAGCTCCTGGGATTTGTACATCTCTGTTTTATTGTATGATTTTGTTTTTATAAATATAAATAAAGGGATGCACAGATACCAGTTTTGCGAGTACGAGTATTGGTACTTGCCGAGTACTTACAAGTACGAGTACTGATACATTTTTGTTTATTGTCATGTGACAGTTTTTCTAAAACAATACAGACTAATGATTTCAGGACAGTAGTGGAGTGCCAGAGCTAAGTCCCAGCTGCAACCGCTGCAACCCTGGTAGTTCTCCTGAAAATGCCAAGTATCTGCACTGGTACTCGAAAGTATCTGTGCAACCCTAATTAGAATGCTGACCTTCCCCTTACCAGACCACCACAGTGTGGGAGATTACAAGAGGCTAATATCAAGGCATATTCAGGTTCTTACGGTAGCTAGCTGTATGTAAGAATGTAATGATTTATTAATGAGTACAGTACACGTAAACTGGATTTAATGGCATTTATATATCTGAGACCAAGAGACCAGCTTTAACTTCCAAAGCCTTAAAACTGTTGTATAATACAGTTCTACCAGATTTGTTTCCAGGATCCTACTCTGAAAGATCAACATAAAGAACAGAAGCCTGAAGTTAGTGATCAGGAATCTGCAGAACCGTAAGTATGATTGATGTTTTATCTTTAGCAGTATCCCATGGAGCTGAAGTGCCACACTTTTCTCTGATCCAGATGCTTTCACACAGTAGCATCAAACGCACTGCATCTCAGACGGTTTGACTTTGACAAGCCTTTGATGTCTGAATACAACACATTCTGCATTTCCTGTTACAATGGAAGGCTGCTGAATGTGTGCTGTCATACATGACAACATTAGTCGAACAACACACAGGAAACAAATTGTTTTTACATCATAACATTCGGGTTTCAGTTCCTTATTTTTTTTTCTTAAGATATTCCTTCAAATAATGTCACCGCAGGTTCAGTGGTAAGCTGAGAAACCTGCTTTGTGAGAATCATTTAGAAGGAAGTCAAATAGTAATTATTTGCAAGTCCAAGGGGCTTTAGTGCAGGCAGGATATGAGTAATGTATCGTAGAAGCAAGTTTGTAGATGCTTATATGAGGTATATTATGTAAGATGACATAAGTGTGAAATCCTCTCTCCAAACACTAAAATACTGTAACTATTCTGAGGTAAACTTCAGAGATGAAGAAACTTGTTATTGCTCAGGTTCACAACGGGTTCTTCACTCTTTTTGGTGTGTCTCCCTAGGGGCATATGACATGTCCTAATAACTACAGTATATCGATTTATAGGTTTGTAAACTTATTTATTGAAGATGCCCATAGGATATACTTCCTCAACTCACTGACACAATTTTACTCAGCCCTGTGAATATGGACTTCCTTGTGTCAGAACTTTTATAGAATCTGCCTTCTGAACTAGTGTTGGGCTCGAACAGCGCTCGGTCGTGTGTTCGCCGAACACACAAACTATAAGGATGTTCGGCGTTCTGTTCGACCACTGAATGCCCCAAAAGGCAATGCCCTTTGTGAAGCCCTAATTGGCTAAAGGCTTGCCCCTGACCACACGTCAGGGGCAAGACTTTGCCCTATCAGGGCTCAGTACTCATGATGACTTTGCCCAATCATGGCTCGCCTATCAGATGACAAAAAACTACACAGTTGGGCGGAGCTAGCTGTCACCGCTAGCTCCACCCAATTGTTTATGTTTTACCGGCATCTGTCAAAATGCCATTATGCGGCTGGAGTTCGTCGCAAGCGGACGGGACAGCGGTCGGCAGGGTTTTTTTTTTCATTATTTCTATTTCTTTTTTATTGTTTTATTTTTTTCCAGGGCAGTACCCGAATCCACATACACCTTTTATGGCCAATAAATTGTATATAAGGCTTCAACATGGGGAGATTTGATTTTCAATGCTCTACCCCCAAAGACTTGCATTGAGTTCGAGTTCAAATACGAACTTTCCCCGTGTTCGAAAGTTCGAATTCAAACCAAACAGGGGGTGTTCGGCCAATCACTATTCTGAACTACAACTCAATATCTGAACAATGAAACATTATCATTGCTTGTTGGAAGTAATACATGATGGGATATGTACTCTTGAGAAAACAAGATTGTATTGCATCAAGCAGCAAGGAAAGAGATGCAAAGTACAAGGTTATTCTATTTTCCTAGATTCACCTAGGAAAGTGGACTTACCCTTTAAAATGAATCTATGGTCAAAATGCGAAATCATACATTTTTTTTTCATTTCGGTTTTGTTCATTTGTTTCGGTTTTAAAATTTTCATTTCGGTGCACCTCTACCTCTTACACTGGTGGTCAGTGGGAAGAAGAATGCCCCCTTACATTGGTGGCCAGTGGGAAGAATAATGTCCCCTTACACTGGTGGTCAGTTGGAGGAAGGATGCTTCCCTTACATTTGTGTTCAGTGGTAGGAAGAATGCCCCCTTACATTTGTGGTCAGTGGGAAGACGAATGTTCCCTTACGCTGGTGGAGTAAAATTGCCCCCTTATACTTAAATGACTGCAGGGCACTACATATCATATAATGATATACAGGCTATATGTTATACCTACTGTACTCTCAGTCTGGAGTAATTCAAACTCTGCAGTGACATCTACAGTACAAAAGAAATACTGAAATGCTTTGGGACACATGTATTGTTTTAGCAGGAGGTACTTAAGAACACTTTGTAAAAGGTATAAAAAAACCCCATAAATGCAGATTTCACTGATACAAAAAATAATAATATTTTGTATATAGGAAAAGGTAAATTTCTTCCCTTCATGGTAAAATGGTAAAGGTTAGTTTTAGGCGTTATCTACAGTATGAAGCATAGCACAACTTAAAATGTGCCTAAAGCCCAAAGGTTTTTTCAGTTTTGTATAGTGTCAAAAAAAAACTCAGGAAGGTTTTTATTGCTATCTAAATCCCCACTGGGGAGCTTAATCCCAGTCTCTATATGTTCTGGTGAACATTGTCATTGGGACTGAAAGTGATGAGAAGCGATGAAAAAATCAACAAAGATAATATCATAGATAAAGGGTCAGTGCAGAGAGGGGGAAATAAATCAATAATATAAATGGGGGAACTCTGCTATGAGGAAAGATTAACTGAACTGAACGTATCCATTCTTGAGAAGAGGCTATAAAGGTTGAATATAGTTAACCTTAAAAAAAATATTTACATGATTTCTATTGTAAATTCACCAAAACGACCCACTCTTTGGATTGGAAGAAAAGAGGTGTAAACTCTCAGTACATTGTTATATGGATCTTTAGACAGAGACAATCATATATTTATAGGCTTTCACATCTCCTTCTCCTGGGAGAAAAAAAAATGCAGGATCTACCAAGTAAGGAATCTGTTTTCAGTAAACCTATATCTATATCCTATTGGTTATTGTGGATTAAAACAGTTTTCGTGGTATGAATGCATTTATCACTGTATTTCTGTATTACATTTACTGAGATGTTAAAATTTAAGCAATGGATATGTAAAACAACATTTTGGGGAGATAAAACAACATTTTTGCATACAACAAACATACGTATTTGAATCTAGCTTGATATTAGCATCTAGTCATTCTAGTCATTCCTTTCATGAGAGAGGGAGCAGCAGTAGCAGTAGCTACTCAGGCTCTGGCATGCAGCACATGTGCTTACAGGGAACATGCAGACAGGTGTAGAAAGAGGAGTGAGCAAAGCTGATGAAAAGTATTGAGAGCGTAAAATGTACTCTTCCCAATATTTACAGCCCAGCTCTCAATCTATAGAGCCGGTATGTGACACCTGCAGTGTCACATACCGGCTCTATAGAATGAGAGCTGAGCAATCATGAACCACTGATCAGGCAGAGAGGTGGATCCCGACAATATTGTCGGGATCTTTCCCAGCTACAGCACGGCTCTGCTCTGTCAGCAAATAGCATTTTTCCTAACAGAGCAGGAGTACATTTGTAAATATAGTCCTTTGACCGAAAAGAGGACTAAAGCCAAAAAAGGTTTGGCTTTAGTTCTCTTTTAACAGTGTGTTGCTAAAGCCTTTTTGTACAATCAGCAGACTATACTAGAATGTTGAGTCCACTATCAACACCATCCCAGCTGAGCTGCCTAAGGTGTATGAATCACAAAAGCATCTTTGCAGAATTACAAATCCTTTTTGCAGAAAATATAGTTAACATGTGTGTATTAGAACTGTCTAGTAAGTAGCTGTCTGCCTGGATTCCAGCATTACCTTTATTTTCATCTCACAGTCTTTTTGTAGAAAATATAACGCACTGATTATTTGCTATAACAATGCATTATATAAAGAGCGGTTAGTAGTCCGAAATGCATTTATTTCTATTCTCAAAAGCAAACAAAGTCTTCAAAGGGATTGTCCCTTTATGGATATTTATTGTATATTACTGCAAATTATCTTGACAGTGTTTTAGCGGAAGTTGAGATTTCTAGACATTATTACACCAATTAAAGCAAAAAAGCTGAGTAAGCCATTTTCATCTCGCAGATGTATATTTAAAGGTTGCTTTGATTTTATAGTCACATAATTGTGTGAAAAAACACAAACCCAAGAACCAAGCCATTTCAGAACACATGCCCCACCTTCCAATATCATAGTTCCATCAAAGCAACAAGTACTTTAAAGCAATTGTAATTAATTGCAGGCTTTGAAAGAGAGCTCTGCAGGGTGTGGCAATAGTAGGATAATTGTTAAGGTTTGTTTTATTTTGTCTGACAATAGATCTGTGTTTATTGTTTCAGATGGAAGGGCAAGATTATCTATACATTATGATTTCTGAGATGTCATCACAAAATATATCTTTGCTCAACAATGTTTTACACACCATTGTACAACCGATACTTGACTGAATATTTTTCAGTGTTAGAAAGGTGTTACAGATTTCTAACAAAACTCTTGTAAATCACATAAATCTGACACCACTGGGAGCACTTGTTCAAAAAAATTCAGCATGACCAAAACCAGTGCATGAAAATGTGTGTGTTGCGATGCAGTGCTGTGTAATGTGATTGAACCCTTAAAGAAAAGCTGTCTTGAGAGACACATGAAGACTGCCATTTCTGACTTCTGATTTTGAAAATGCTAATTCATGGCTGTTAGGCTGACCCTCTGGCTTCAATACTTTGGGTTACCAACCCAGAAAGTAGAGGGACTTCTGATTTTACTCTTGATTTGCACATGTATTCTGGATCAGTGGCTCAAAGTAATGAAGCCAGATGGTCTGCATAACAGCCAAGCCATTGCAAGAATGAGGTCAGCAATTATATTTCTTTTAGGACATTTTAGTTGAACCTCCCTGGCGGTATTCCCGAGTGTAGCTCGGGGTTACTTTTCCATACCATAAGCGGTAACCCCGAGCTACACTCGGGAATGCCGCATAGCATTTACTTACCTTGTCCCACGAGCTGCGCTGTGTTCTGCGGCCGATGCTGGCTTCCGTCTTCCGGGTTCCGTCCCTTGCGAGCGTACGCGTCGCAGGGGGCGGAACCGGCGGCATATTCAAAAAAATAAATAAAATGAAAAAACGCCAAAGACGAAAATAATTCGAAAAAAGAAATAGACAGAAAAATTACATGAAAAAAATAAAAAATCATACCGCCAGGGAGGTTAATGCACAGGAAACATAATGACAGCATTGATGGTGACCTGTTAAATCATGCCCTATAATTAAAGTGTCACTAAACTAAGGAGTTAAATCTTAAAAATGCATTCAAGTACCTTACTCTTAATAAAACTGCACCATATTTATGTATCACTGAGCTGTATAGCCTCAAGTTATCTCTGAATTCATGCTGACACTGTCCCTCCTTCTGGAGGGTGGCTACTTTTGTTCCCCATGATCCCTGTGTGTGTTGTAAAGTAAACACCTCTACAAGCTCACTCCCATGATGGACTACAATCTCAATAAAAATTAGTAAACTAAAATGTAGTCCATCACCGGAGTGAGCTTGGAGCAGTGGCTACTTTTCAAACACACACAGGAACCATGGGGAACAAAAGCAGCCACTCTCCAGAAGGAAGGACAGTGTCAGCATGAATTCAGAGATGATTTGAGGATCAACAGCCGAGTGATACACAAATAAGATACATTTTTGTTAATAGTTCAGATACTTGAAGGTATTTGAGATTTAACTCCAGAGTTTAGTGTTCATTTAATATTACACACAAAGCACATACTTTTTATGGAGATCTTCCGTTTCCTAGGGGTTACAGTAGGGAGCATGTATTAGAAATTCATACACAGAATAATGTGATCATACATTTAATTTGTTATGCTAAACAAGCTTCCACCAAAAATGAGACTCATCTGAATCCCACATGAATAGATGCTTGTTGAAAGAATAAATGACACTTTAAAAATTAAATTCATTTTGTAGAAGCTTATGTGATTACTACTTAGTACCTAATCCATCCTCACCAATAGAGTAGTGTCTGCTTTTATTACTTGTGGTGTCCCTGAAAGCTGTGGTAAGCTCTGAAGTCCTCAGAAGACTTATATAGCGCATCAAAATGTTGTATTTCAGTGCAACTTAGGGAAAAGATTCTACTAGTCAGATCAGTTAAAGATTACATTGGATTGGTTACTGTGGGATACTGCAACAAACTGTTAGCGCTATATAAATCCTGTATAATAATAATAATTCTAACTGCCTCACTGAATGAGTCTGTATGGCCTCTTTAAAACCTACTTAAAACCCAGCTTTAAAAAAAAAATTTGGACATGAGGTAGGGATAGAACGGTCAGGCTTTTACTGCAGTCTAGATAGATTTTCCTTCATTTTCTCTCCTGACAGGAAGTGATCGGAAATTTTTCTAGTGGGTACACTGTCGCAGGAGGTCATATGGACTGGAAGTGAGACGAAATCTCCCCAACAGGGTCCTGGACACCAATAAAAAAATGGTCACCCATCATTAGGGCTAATTTACTAAAGAAACTGAGAATTTTCACTGAATATTGCATTCAATTATCCAATTGTGTCTAACAAGTGACCGGGTAATTACTATTCACATGATTAAATAATTCATACAATTTTTTCAGTAAAGATTCTCAACTTCCTTAGTAAAGCAGCACAACTCTCTATATGCTACAATTTTCTGAAAAGCAAAGGAGATGGTAGAAAACCCCAGGAATAGCACCCTCCTGCTTATAGCTGAGTTTTCACTAGATGCAGATGCAGAGCATTCAGTGCCCACCTTCAGGTAGTCTTTTTATGCTCCAGTAGAAGAGTTAACCGCATTCAAATGGAAGTTGCCTTAAGGGACCTGCTGGAGCTAAGGAATTGCTGGTGACCCTTCTCCTACTGTGGTATTGCAGTGCGCCACCCACTGCTGTCACTATAAACATCATCAAGTTACATTGCTGACAATACTCCACCGAGTAATGCCGAGAATTGATTGCCATCATGTTTTATGCTCCAAACACTTTTGATTGTAATGTTAAAGTGTATGCATAACTTAAACTTTTCATTTGTAATTTTTGGATGGAATGAGGGAGCATTAGGTCCATTGTCAAGTTTGAATTGCTGTCTTGATCCATGCTAAGTAGATTGCCCCCTATATAATTGTCCTGGTGACCAATGTCAGTGAGACAGAAAAGAAATGGAAAATCCCAAATTTTACAGTTGCCACCAGAGTAAATGGTGAGGGGAAATCTTGCAATGAGAACACCTGTTAAGATGGGAATTCTACCACTTTGTAAAGATTTACTAAAGGAGTAAGGAATGTTCACACTGTGTAAACATTCACTTCAGTTGTCAAATCATGTGCAGGTGAAATAAGCAAACAGGGATTTTCTTTTCACATGATTGGATAATTGAAGTGAATATTCACACAATTTGTTGTGAACATTCCTAAATCCTTCATCTACTTTCTGTTGGGTCTTTAGGACAGGAAGTGAAAGGGAATTTCCCAAGCAGGTCACACTTTAAAATAATCTAACAGGAGTTTTAACCTTTCCCTAAATAAAAAAGGTTTTGGCTATCCGTACTTTAAAAATGAATACAAACCAACCCCTTTTCATGCTTTTGCATACTTAGCTCCAAGAGTTGCCAACATTCCATTTCTGCATATCTTTCTCACTACTGTACACCCGATCCCCCAAAACCACTTCTGTTAACTGTTTAAACAGTCATAGTTCTCATACAATAAGGGACCAACAGTCCATTCAGGGTCGTTGAAGACCAGAGAACATTGTTGGCTGCCAAGGGGAATATGGAATAATGAATAAATATTTCTATTTATTCCTAATCCATATCTATATGTAAATAACATTATCATTCTGTGCTTATGTATTAAACACCTAAAACCTTGTTTCTATGTATGGCATGTGATTACTGTATACTGTATACATACATGGGGGCAGTCATCTTTGCTCAGCTTCATGTTGATACTTTTATATCACTACATGTCTACAGTTTACGTCTGTCAAATAGAAAACAACACATACTTTTGAACCTCTGTTTAAAAAAAAAAGGGAACAGTTTAAAAAAACTGACAGAAAAGGAAAAAGAGTTTTTAAATACTAAAAAAGGGTCTAAAAAGGAAGGGAGACAACAAGTATTCAAAAAATCAAGCACTCAATATATCCCAAACAGTTCAAATCCCAATTTTTTAACGCCACTTAGCTCCCAGGCACTTTGTTCCCAAGCCCTGTGTGAATTCAAGGAGCTCAGGTAGTTTTTTCTTTTTAATTGATGTCATAAAAAGGTTTTACTTATAATATTCTGACTTGGTAAAGCTGACATGTGACCTACTAATTCATGTGCTTTGCAAATGATAGAACCACTTTATTGGTTTAGTTCTGGTGAATAAATTCATGAATACAGACAATGCATAAAAATAATACATAAAATAAGCCATTAAGGTAATTTACTTATCACACTCTAACAGTTTTGTGTGTTTGTACTAGACAAGAATGCTCAATGAAAGTTGCTATAAAAGCAAAATGAGCAAACATATAACTTTATTTTTGCTTTTTTAAAATTAATTATTTGCCAAACTTCAGATATAAAAGATACACTCTCAAATACATGTTTTCACATGAAACCATAAATTCCTGAATTTGGCATAGTATCAGTGTTGTTGCAGCCCACATACAATAGAGCTTAGAGCAGAAGGGGGAGAAGCAACACAAACAGCCAATCAGTTGTACTTCAGTGCAAGGAGCACACTGATAGTAAAATATAGCAGAGAGATAGAAAGATGAGCTCATCCGTGTGCTTCTTCTCTTATCACTGTCCAGTCACAGACTGGGGCAATATGAATAACTGTGTTACTTAACTGCAAAAAGAAAAATCAGGTCTCCTCCCCTACCAGATAGGACTATGTGGTGTGGCATAGCTCTGTAAATCTCAGAACTGACTGGACAGAAATACAAACCTTTAAGCAGGTAAAATAGCTCCATTATATGTTTTTTTGCCTGGAGTCTAAATTTAAATTGCTGAAGTTGTAGGCATATTTTATTTATGGTATGGCAATTTTGGTCTTATCATTTGAATACAGTCACACTGAACATATTATTTCTCCTCTTTTAGTCTACAAACTGTTTCTAACTATACTGATGATATTTATGGTATGGCAATTTTGGTCTTATCATTTTAATACAGTCACACTGAACATATTATTGTCTCTTCTTTTAGTCTACAAACTGTTTCCAACTATACTGATGACTTTAAAACCTCAAGATCAAGAGTCATCTCTATAGAAGAAGATCCAATGCCAGAGTGTTTGGTAAAAGATTACAGACATCCTGAAGAGAGTATTGAAGAAGAGAACTCATCTCAGGAATTTACCATCACACAGCTATTAGCCCAGAAGGAACAACAGTTTGCTCTAGCATCAGCGGATTCTTTTCGTTCTCACCCAGCTGAAGATATTTCACCTAATTCACCTTATTCATCATTCCCTATCCTTAACAGTCCAGTCCAAGAAGAACAAAAAAACATGCAGCTAAGAAGTAGTACTCCTAAAAAAGGTACTTTAACTGGAGATAATCAAGCAAAACTAGAAAGAGAAACAAAATGCATAACACTATCAGAAAAGACAAGTTCTTCTCAAGAGATGCATGGAAACCCAGATCACATTTATAAAATAATATTTGTTGGAAACACAAATGTTGGAAAAACCTCCTTTTTACAGAGAGTTTATGAAGGATCCTTCAACAAAGATGTATCTGCTACAATAGGTAAGGATTCAATAAGTCTTATGTGCTGCTTATCAAGCCAGCTTTGTGAATGTTCCTTTAGAGTTGGAACGTGGTTCTAAGTGACAGCTTTGAGTTCAGCTTTTCAGTTTCTGGTTGCTTCATAGAAGACTCTAAGAAAAGTCTTACATAAAAACCCAGCAACCTAATGAACCCAGGTTTCCACCCCTGATTTTTCATTACAGTCCTGGGGATAATCAGCTTGTTAGTATAAGCAAAGCATGGTATATTTTAGTTGTGTGTCAATATTGGTCATAGGTTTACCTAAGGCAGGCTTTATCCCCTCTAGTCTGCAAACACAGACTATGACTGCTATACCTACCATTGTAATAGTTTGACACCACAATAAAACACCAAATAATACTACCCCTTACAAAGCATAAATCACCCCAGCATTGTGCGCCAAACTATACATTGAATAATTAACATCAAGAAATGTGCTCAACAAGATTATCTGGTGGTCATCCCTTCTGCATATCCTAACCCACAGACACACTTTAGATGCTTTCCCTAATGAGTCCATAAGGTGGAGGACTTCCCAGCCTCACTGGTCTGTAGCTGTCTGTCAAACTATAGTATATAGTGTTTTTGTGCTTGTACTCCCCTGAAGTGAAGTGGTTTTTATAAATATTACCTGCATTTAGCAATTTTTGTGCAGCTGTTCTTTTGTAGCTCCGCACCCAAATGTTTTCTATTGGCCGGGCGGTTCTGCTGCCGTCAGAATAAAAAAAAAAAATATCACCATAGGAATGCATAGCTAGATTCCTATTGGCTATTTCAATTTGCAATAGCCAATAGTAAACTAGCTATTGCACCCGCCCTCTGCTGCTGTCAATCACTAGAGGGGACCTGATGGAGAACTTAAGGTCCCCTTGCTGATTGACAGCAGCAGTGGGCGGGTGCAATAGCTAGTTTACTATTGGCTATTGCAAATTGAAATAGCCAATAGGAATCTAGCTGTGCATTCCTACGGTGATATATATTTTTTTTATTCTGACGGCAACCAACTTTACACTTTAATACAGACGTAGGGGTCTATTCACTAAGCTGCCGAGGGCAGCCGAGTGAATGACTGATCTGAAGTGAAGTGAGCCGAACACTGTTCGGCTATTCACTTCAGGCTGGTACGGCTGATTTCAGCCGTACATCGGTTTGGTTCTGCTGAACCGAAGGGGTTCTGGGGCCGAAGCTAGCCGAAGGATCGGCCAAAGCTACGGCCAGATCCTTCGGCAGCTTCGTGAATAGACCCCCTAGTCTCTAGCCTTATGAAAGTCAGATAATCACCAGCACACACGCAATGGAATCAGATACTGTTTCAACTTATTGAATCATTGTCATCATTTGTCATAAACAGCCAACATTTCATTAATACAAAAATTTAAGAATCATAAAAAAAAATAAAGCATAAAATTTTTTAAAAAAGAAAAACATTTTTTAAGTCCCCGCCCCCCACACGCAGATATGCGTTGGGTGCGCCTATGTGCGAAAACGACGATTGCGCCTATTGTGCCGCACATGTTACATATCGCCGCAAACGTCGTAGTGAGAGCAATAATTTTAGGGCCATTAATCACTGATAACACTAAACTGATGAGCAGTAAAAGCGGTTTAAGTGTCGCCTATGGGCCTGTGGGCATTTTTTGCGATTTTGCTGGCGCACACAATTTTAAGGCTTGACATGTTTGGTGTCTATTTACCCGACGTGATCCCGCCTTTTATGTTTTACCAAAAATATTGGTAAGAATAAATGTTTTATAACAGAATGTAGGGATACAGCCAAGTAGCCCTCGGAAACGCGCGTTTGTCACGCAATTTTTTTACCGCGACAACCGCGCGACAGACGCACATATGCAATACGCCTGGGTGTGAACCAGGCCTTAGGAAAGCAGGGATTTATGTCTTGGCTATAGAGATGACAAAGGATAAAAGGAAAAGGAAAGGGAGCTACTGCTAATGTTCAGACTAAACTATTTTACTGATAATGCGGGTATCTGTGCGTAGCACCGGGTGGCATACACATAATTTACAAATAGACTACTACACACTTGTAGCAGAAACAGGGTTACAGTAGAAAAGCAAACATCAATATTTTTTTACTTCATTTCATTTTTTTGTATGCGTGTTCAACGCACTGCTGCAATGATTTAGTTTCTTTCTAACTACTGCCATTTTAATATTTGTTGCTTGTAGCAAGTTAGTCGTTTTTAGATATATTTCTCTTTTACCACTTTAACTCCTACAAATACAATGATTTACAATAAAGAACTGCTTGGCATCATAGACTTGGAATGATGTAGTTCAGTAGTTTGTTTTACTGAGAACAGAAAGGTGAGTAGTGTCCTCAATTCATCTAATAGGCCTAGCAGTGTCCTTCACCTTCCAATATACTGAATGAGTTTATAAGATATACAAGACAATATTTGTATTTTGTCTGGTATTTAAAGAATATAATCAGTCATGCTTTGTTAATAATAATTCCAGGAAAACAATATTTTTGTGACAATTGTGACAATATCTATATGTGGTAAACACAAAGGAACATTTAATCATTTTGCACTAGAGAAGAAGGAACAAACCAGGCATATCGAAAAAAAACCTTGCATACAATATATGAGGGGTAGGAAACCTCGGCACTCCACCTGTGGTGAAACTACAAAACCCAACATGCATCTGGCACTGGGAGTTTTGCCTGTGGCTGTCACAGTCTGAAATGTTGAGATTGCTTACCCCTGCAATGGATAAAGCTCTCAATGCCCAAAAGAACTAGTTATTGTCATTTAGTGATCATCTACATGCTGGGAAAAAATGGCACCCACCAAATTAATTCCAAGTCAACATAAAACACAAATGTTGCCGGTTTCAGTTAATAGAACCTGTCTAATATGTTCCTAGTTTAAAAACAGAGGTCTTAAACATTTTCAAATCCATGTGGAAAGTGCATGGCACATCAATGTACTTCTGTACAGACTAAGAACATGCTTACCTGGAAATAACCTCACAATTCTCTGTGGTGCATAAATAAATGGCCTGGACCTTACTAAACCCAGCAAAAATTGATTTATTATATGCATGCACCAAATAAAACAAAAAGAAAATGCTGGGAGGGGCATCACACTAAGTTCATGCACAACACAAGACAAACCTATTAGCCAGTGAGGTAGCCCATCATAAGTGATGGTCGATTTGAAATGTGTGGGTAGGAAACAGCAGGCTAGCTCTACACCACTATGCTTTAAGTCACCCAGAAGTGGTGTTAAAGTTGCTACAATGCCAGATCTCCACCTTAGCTCATCTCACTTTTTGGGCCATTGAGACCATCTATCAGGTAATGAACCAAGAAAGGTCCAGATGGTGAAAGGGCCAATGTTGATCAAAAAAATTGGGTACATTTTTCAGGACTTAGGACACCTAAGAACTTTGAAGAGTCTGCTGATGAGTCGGCATTTGATTATTGCACATATTGTTGCATAACACTTGCCCATTAGTAGCTCTAATAACAATTTTGGTTCACTTCATGCTCCCCTTATACAACCAGATGCCTTAGTAAATCAACAGTTTTTGAGACTTTTGCCCATCCTCCCTTACATATCTAAAGAACTGTGACCCACTTCTCCAATAATTAGCTGATGTGTAATGCACATATAGGGGTTCATTTGTAAAACTTCCACTCTGCATATAGCCAGATGGATTCTGTAGGCATGGCACTAGCTCCTTTTGATGGCGCTGACAAGTATAAGAATTTCCTGTGCTCGTCAGCACCATGTAGGGGGACTAGTGCCATGCAGATGGCATCTGCCCAGCTATATGCCAGCTGGAACTTTAGAGATGAGTCCCATACTGAAAGTTTTTTTTTCATTTTGTTCCACAGAAGACAAAACTACTGAGCTGTGTCTGTATGGCACAGTATATACTGTATGCAGTGTATATTCCGTATATGTATTTAATTTGTTCTTCTTTCTGCAGGAATAGACTATCATTTTAAAACTCTAATCGTTGACAACAAGCAATATGTACTTCAGCTTTGGGACACAGCTGGACAGGAAAGGTAAGTTGTTATTATTATTATGATACAGGATTTATATAAAGTTTTTTGAATATTATTGCGTACGTTTTTTGGAAATAAATTCCTGTAGTTTAACACTTGGGCTTTGTCAGAAGGCAATTAGGTGCAACAAACACCCCTCATAAAGCATACTGTCCAAGTATCAAAGTGGTGGCCGATGGCAAGAACCACTTCATATTACACTCTTCAGGTGGTTGAATTCCCCCTGCTGTTTAATAACTGTGGATACTATGAGCTTTAAAGTGCATCTGAAGCCAAATCTTTTTTTATATATCTTTGGCTAGAGTGGAGAGGAATTAGAAAACCTGTCAGGTTTTTATTCCTGTCTATGCCCCTGTTAGGGAGATTCACCCCTCTCTATTTGTTCTGGTGACTGTTATCACTGAAACTGAAAGAAAATCCAAAATTTTAGGTTGTCACCAAAACAGGAAGAGTAAGGTTCTCTTACCTCTACAGATCAGCCCTAGCACTTATGCTAGACTACAGATTACATGTGCACATGCTGAAAATATAAAATTACTCTGTTCTGTCTATTTGTACATTCCAAGTGTAGCACGCAATTGTGTTGTTTATAGTTTTATCTAGGGATGCACCGATACCGATACTAGTATCTGTGTCAATGCCGATACCAAGTATTTTGGAGATCTCCCTCTGACCGCAAGTTCCGAGGAAGCATGAAGCTGGCTTCCTTTCCAATTAGGAAGCCGGGCGTAGGTTATGAACTGTCTCCCTGCTTCCTGATTGGCTAGAAAGCCGGCTTCACTTTTTGCTAGGCAGCCTGGCTTTTTAACCCCCCCCCCCATGTAATTAAGATGAACAAAGGTGACATGTTTGAAATCCAGCCTGGGTGACAACCATGGCTCCTTCCATAGGTACAGTGGAGTGAGCAAAGCCACTTAGGGACAGGAAGTGTGCCATTCATACAATCACCAGTTGAAAATGAATTATAAAAAATGCCTAAAAAAAAGAACTAATGCACCTGATCTATAGGCTGGTAAGCTACAACATATACCATTTTTGGTTTTGGGTTTATCATTTTAGCTTTGTTTATGATGTATGGACATTGTGGCAGGAGAGAAGAACTATTATATTTGGCATAGACATAATTACATTACTTAAAAGTAAAAGTAACTGTAATATAATTGAAATCTTACTTCATCTGAGATGATATTATTCGCTTCCAGCCACGGATAATGCATTCTTACGTATGTAACTTAATTTGCCTTATTACATTTTACAACCATTCTGTTTTGTAACTCGGAGCAATAATATTCAATCATGCAGCTATTTAATGTAGTACGTTTTACCTCTGGCCTTACACTAACAGCAGACAATTCTGAATGGATCCTTCTGTTTTATTAACTATGCTACTACACAGCATGGTGTTCTGTCCTGTCCCCATAGAAGTATATTTTTGTACTTTTAATAGATTGCAGGATGATTTCAACTTTTGCCATGATTTTGTTACTGTTTCTGTTCCCATTGAGTAGCTTTCCAGTTACTTTCTGCCCTGGTGACAGGGAGTCAGGGGAACAGAAAGTGAAGGAAAATCTCAGTCTCTCTCCTTATAGTCATACGTGTGTTTTCCTGTTCTGATGACACCTTATCACTGATTTCTTATCCTGGGGACACCAGGCCAGGAAGCAAGGGGATTCACCTGAACAGGATCACAGATTGAAATAAAATCCTGTCAATGGTTCTGGGTTCTCCCAGCAACTCCAAAACTACCGTACCAACCAGTTTGGGAAAAGGTGGACTTTAATACAACTCTAATCCTACCTTTTAATTAAAAAAAAACCCAGCAACTTATTTTTATCATTCTATAGGTCATCAGTGCTATTATTAATTAGAATTATAAAACCAATACTGTGCAGCACAAACCCAGTTATCATGGGATTGTTAAAAGTAGAACTGTCGCAAAATCTTTTTTTTAAGTTTAGGCTAGAGTAAGGAAGGGTTATAAACTCTGTCAGCTTTTTTTGCCATCTTGTCTCATTGGGGCAGTTTTGTGAATAATCCCCTATATATTACCATATAAAGAGCATCAACAACTAAAGAACATTAATTTTGGCGTATATCCGCATAGCGTGACTGTTCACAGATATTCACAGGGTGAAGGGCCCTGTGGATAGTTTGTAAGTATACCCCTTAAAGTATACACTGTATAAACAGTACTGTGCAAACGTTTTAGGCAGGTGTGAAAAAATGCTGTAAAGTAAGAAGGCTTTCAGTAATAAAAGTGTTATTAGTTTATTTTGATCAATTAACAAAATGGAAAGAAAATGAACAGAAGAGAAATCCAAATCAAATCAATATTTGGTGTGACCACCCTTTGCCTTCAAAGCAGCAGCAATTCTTCTAGGTATGATGAATAGGATTATATACTTATCTTATTCCTTGGTCCTGCAGTCTTCCTCCTCTTTGTGCGACCACTCCCCTGAAGCCAGTTCTCTTTGCTGCCCAACCAGTCACAGCTCTCTGACGTCATCCTGTACATACAAGACCAGCAGTCCTGCATTGTACAGAAGGACTGCCAGGCCTGCTCACGTCTCAGAGTGTCAGACATTGGAGGAGAGTGCCGACTGCTCAGAGAATGAGGAATAAGGGAGGTATATCACCTTGTAACCATTGCGATGGGGAGGGGGACCCCATGCAAGGGTAAATATTGTTTCCCCCTGGGTTCAGCTTTAATAAATATGACACACAAATCAGTAAACATATCTATTATGTAATAAAAATCAAATTATATTATTAACCACCATCATCATCAAGAACTATAGAAAAGACAGTTGGAATTTACCGAATATATATTTTTAACAGGTTTCATAGTATCACAGAACAGTTCTTCAGGAAAGCAGATGGTATGGTGATTATGTATGATATTACATCTAAGAAAACTTTCACAGATGTGTGCTACTGGTTGAATCGTATCCAAGTGAGTATACTGAGAAAGAGCATGTCCTAACAAGCTTTGGCCATTTGTAATAGGGTAGAAATAGTAGAATGTACATATAGAAGTAGAACTAAATTGAGTTGGGCACGGTACATATTAGCTTACATTTTTGGGTTCAATCTGAGTTTATTAAGAATTTAGTACAAAAAAAACCATTAACCACAAAAGGTCACAGTAAAAAAAGGGGGGGGGGGGGACAGAAGAGACTGTCCCTGGTGGGACACAATAAGCATCAGCAACTATACAGACAGCAGCATTCATATGGTTAGAGCACAAGTCGCACAGTTAACATAGCGAAAATGTCCAAAACGGTGAATAGATTGGCATTAAATACATGGATCAAGCCACATTGGTGTCATAAGGTGTAAGCCCCTCCCCACAGGCGCTTCAGGGTTATTAGTAAGTGACATCTGAAGCAAGTCTCTATCAGTGTTGATCAGCATGAGCAGAGGGGCAGATGCAGAGATAGGCATGCTGCATGGACTGAGGCAGAAAGAAAAACCAATCAAGGTAAAACAGGGGGGGGATATCAGAGAAAACAGGACAAAGAAAACAGCAGAAGAGCCAAAGAAGGGGTAGGGGGATGGAGAGGAGAGTAGAAA